AAGAAATTTTTAAGTCTTACAAAAGGCCATATAAAAATATAAGCCCCTGGGAAATAATATCACCAATGTTTCACTTCAGAATTAAAATTAATTTGTAGTACAAAAAAAAATAAAAAAATGAATAAATATAATCCCAATCAAAATTTATTAAATTCAATAAATTGGGCCCATAGTCTAACCCATAACATTCAAAACCCAAAATATCAAATGTTAAAAAAAAAAAAAAAAAAGAAGAAGAAGAAACCTCGTGTTAAAAATTAATAGGTAATCTCGTTTACTAACACTTATTCTCAACCTCTCTCTCCTGCCAAAAACAAAAAAAAATGAAAATAATTGAAGGATCCTCCAATTCATTTTGCATGGCGAGGATTTATCCATGCCAGCAAATTCGGTCCATCATAAATTTTTCAAAATCTAAAATACATATTTCAAAATTTTTAGGATTCTCTTTTTCTATGTACTTGTGGAATGATTTTTTTATTTTATTACACCAATTTTAAACAATACAAAATGATCTTATATTGTTTTGAAAAAAAATATGTAAAATGATTTTCAATGCGTTCAAAACTTATCAGTATGTGTCCAAAGTTTATCCGTAATGTGTTCATAGTCATTTATGTATGCAGTCAAGCTTTTTGAATATGTGGCTTTGCCCATTTTCAGAAAAATATATCTGAAAAAGATATAATATTTGTATATATAACAATATACATAATTTTTTAGAAAAATGGGAGGCTGGCCTGTGATCCCCCTGGCTCCCACATAACTCTGGCCATGGTTTAAGTATTTGAATGAACTTATGTTAGCTCATTTTTTCTGTAAGATGAACTCAGCTTGGCATGCCGCAGCACAGCTTTATTTCTATATGGCTGATGTTCACTCCAGTAGTTCTGATTTTGCAAAATTTGCACTTACAATTTAACACTTTCGTTTATTCTAATTGTCAGTATTTCTATTTAAATGTACTACAGATGATCCGAAGAAGACAGCACACCTGCTTGAATTTGATGGAGCTAAGGAAAGGCTACATTTCTTCGAAGCAAACTTAACTGAAGAAGGATCATTTGATGCTGCGGTTGATGGTTGTGAAGGTGTCTTCCACACAGCCTCTCCTATTTTGCTTTCAGTCACTGACCCTCAGGTAAATCCCCAAAACTTCTACTGTGCTATGCTGATTTTGGTGTGGTAGCCACATCTGTACAGCACTTAAGGCAAATCAATTCATTTGGTACTGTGATTTTGAAACTTCTTTATTCAACAACTGCGATTTCTAACTTACTTCCAATCTGTCATAGTGTGCTTTGTCATACACACTTTTACAACGAAAAGTGTGGGTTCAAACTACGCTTTCTTGTATGCTTGCTGGTCTTGTTATCACTGCAAATTTTTCTGTTCGTCTCATGTGGCAACACATGTAATGAAATAACAGAGTGGAGAACGGATAAGCATATGACAAGATAAGCAGAAAACTTTAGCTATAAGCATATAAGTCAGATAAACTTTAGCTATAAGCATATAAGTCAGAATGGTATCAAGACTTTGCCTTGAAATAAGTTAACGTGGAAGCTAAAGAAAATAGCAACATGAAAACTAAAGGATATTTCTTGAATTTATAACTTTATATGCAAAATCTTGATGGGAAAATATATATCTGAAAGTAGTGGAGATTCTACTGTCTTAATTTGGCTAGAAATTAGCTCCTTGTATAAGAAGTGAAAACTAGATCTAGTAAAACTGAAGTTCAGATGCTTTATTCTTTAGAAAGTACAGGGCACTGTATCATTCTCTGTGTGGTCTTCCTCCCCTGCCCCTCCCATTCTTAGGGGGAGAGCGAGACGATTTGAGGTGGTTGAGTTATACTCTTTGTACATGTGATTTATCATATTAGTTTAACGACTCATAGCAGTTCTTAGCTTAAAAAGAAAGATAGATATGTGAGAGGTCCAGGCTCATGTCTATTATATGACTCCTTGAATTTCACTAGATTGGTTGCAGCCAATAATCTTACCAATTCTGGAATTCATGTCAAGATCATGTTATGTTGCTAGCTTATTTTCAAGAAAAATGTGGAATCAAAGAAACCAATGCAGGGAAGTTTTTTTCCGATAGAATGCCTTAGTGCTATTTTGTGCTTTCGTTTACATAATGTTGTTGGCTTTTAATCGTTTCTTTCAAAAAACTGTATATATAAAGGGCTGCTTATCATTTGATTACCATTTACCATGTTTCAGGCAGAATTAATTGAGCCTGCTGTGAAGGGAACACTTAATGTTCTGACATCCTGTGCAAAAGTTTCATCTATCAAAAGGGTGGTAGTAACATCTTCAATGGTTTCGGTTAAATACAATGGAAAATCTCTAAACTCCGATGTTGTAGTTGATGAGACGTGGTTCTCAAATCCAGTATTTTGTCAGGAATCAAAGGTTGGTAAATTAGCTAATGTCTTCAAAATGTAAGTAATTAAGTGATGCAGTGCAGAAGCAACATCCATTGTGTTCCCCAAGACTCTTGTATTTCTTTCTTTGTTGCCATGGCTATAGAAAAATGTTAGTCATCCATGAAAGATAAGTAGAAGACATGTCATCCTATGCACTGTGGTGTGGAGTATGCATGATTTTCTGTTGTTTGTTTTTGCTCAACTTTGGTTCATGTATCAGTATACGCTATCGAAAACCTTGGCCGAGGAAGCCGCATGGAAATTTGCAAAACAGAATGGGATTGACTTGGTGACAATACATCCAAGCTATGTGACTGGTCCTCTCTTGCAACCAACTCTCAATAGCTCTGCTAAGTTGTATCTGAACTTCATAAATGGTATGCTTTTTCTGTAGCAAATGAGGATGATGCATATCATATGACAGTATATTTCTACTTGAAATGTTTTGATCCTTCATCTCAATTGTTACTAGCAACCATCTAGGTAAAATATTGAAAGTTATTGTGAATAAGATACAGTGTGCCTTTTTTATATATCTGGCAGGATTAGAAACATTGTATGGACAATGACATGTAGGAATCTGGCCCTAATTGATATATGGTTATGGGGGTCTCTTAGAGAGCAATTTATGTTTTATTTAACTAATCAGATTACGAATAGAATCTAATGTAGTTTGGAAGGAAACTACTCATTCCCTTTCATGGCCGCCGGTGTGAGGTTCTAGCAATTGTTTTTCTTCTGACGGTCACTGAGATAGGATTTGGATCCAGAAAGAATTGTGATGGGGAGATAAGCCTTTTGACAATTCTTTATCTCATCCATTCTGTCATGTGAAGTTTAAAAGGCAGCCATCTTAGTACTGCTATCTCACTTTGTTCTTGTTTGTAAGAAGTCTAAATTCATTATTCGTTACAAGATTCAATTATTTTGGAGATGCAGGAGAGGTTATCTTCTCTGAAGTTTGCTCATTGTTTCCCCTTCTCTTTTTTTTTTTTAGTTCTTATGAGATGCCTATTTGTTGAGAACAATGGCCCCTAAGGATAATTTCTCTTGCTGATTGTGCGTTTATATTATATTCCTTGGCATCGGGAGAAATTGGCTTGGAAGGCTGCTATTAGTATTGTTCATAATCTAGTTCAACATGAAAGAACCAAGCATGTTGAAATTGACCGGCACTTCATTAAAGAAAAACTAACCAAGGGCTTGATTTGCATGCCTGTTGTGAAATCAAAGAATTAGTTAGCCGATATTTTCATTAAGGGGGTTAGCAAGTTGGGCATGAGGAATATCTATGTACCAACTTGAAGGGGAGTGTTACATTGTGCCTTATTACTAAAATAAGGGTATTTGAGTATTTTGTCTATATATAAATAGGGTATAGTTGTGTAACCTAACACACTATCCTATTTTGACAATATTTTCTTCTTCTTCTTTTTTCCTCTCTCTCTCTCTCTAAACCCCTTCGGTTTCATAACTTAACTGTATATTATGTTTAGAAGCTTTCAAGCGACATATACACACATATATTGTAGAACTCGTGCAAAATTGAAGTAGAAATCCTGGAGTACAATAATTTTCTTTAGTTCCCACTTTTTTTTTATTGTGAATATATAATGGTCAAATACTATTGTTCTAGTTGGTTAATTATCTTCAAGTACAAGCAAAAACACTTTTTTTTTTAATTCCAAGGACAGTATTACACTGTTGCATATACAAATCTCTTTTTCTTTCTTAATTAGGTACATCTGCACATGTAATTCTTTTCGTACAAGCATTTAAGTTATATATATGATGCAGGACAGGAAATTCACTCTATTGGAACCTATGAATGTGTTGATGTTAGAAATGTTGCATATGCACATATTCAAGCATTGGAGATTGCTTCAGCTAATGCCAGATATTGTTTAGTCGAGACAATAACATACTCTTCCGAAATTCGAAATATATTACACAAGTTTTATCCTGCTCTCAACCTTCTAAAAAAGTAAGTATTTATTTAGTATTTGAAATGTTGGCTAAGCTAATAACTAAAATAATTAAAGTTGACCACATATGTTCAACAAATGCGCATTATGCTAAATTCTTTATGTTTCATTGGGTTCTCTCTCTCTCTCTCTCTCTTTCTCTCTCTCTTATGTTATATAAGAAATTTTAAATGTAATTCTTCTCATAAAATTTTATCCCTCTCAATAATATTATAATTAGGGCTAGTCGATGGAGTAAACTCATGCATATTATCCACTGTTGTCACGTTTTTATTGTGTTAACCACATAAACTATGTTAGGTGGATCCCTTGTGGAAGGAAGTTGTCTGATAACCCATATAATAAAAGTTGCTCAAGAGTTTTAAGTTTAGGACATAACTACTTATTAAAGAATTTCGGTTGCTTTATGACTTTAGGTTATGTACGGTAATTAAAATGTCCTATAAAATACAGACAAAGGGAAAAGAACTAAGGGACAATAATTATTCAAAACTAGAGGAGGCCACTCAACAATGTATATTAGACTTATAATTAACTAGAGAACAATTATAATCTCCCAACACCATATGATTACATGAATGGGGTTGACTCTAAGCTTTTTTTAATTGAATTTCTATTGAATATATTGACAAGAAGTACCATGTAATGTCATACTTAAAATGCATGATTGATCAATTTGTGGTACTTTTCCTTACGTTCCAAAAAAAAATTATTGCAGTAATCGAAGATATATTGTATATGTTATCTTTTGATGTCTACACTATCGCTTTAGCAAAAAAAGTTTAATTGAATTTAATACTTCTTTTTTTTTAAGGCAGGTGTAAAGATGAAAAGTCTGTTGTCCCACCATTTCAGGTATCGAAGGAGAAGGCAAAAAGTTTGGGCATTGATTTCCTTCCTCTTGAGGTGAGTCTTAGGGACACCGTGGAAAACTTGAAGGAAATTTCTAAGTTTTTGAATCGTAATATAGTAATGAGCAATGCCAATGGGTATGACGCTATGTTTTTCAAGGTTTTATGTTGTAAAAGTGACATTATAATGTATTTGCTGTCCGAAAACTAATTGCCACCTAGCAGTTGTGGCATAATACTCTACACTCTTGAAATTATAGTTCTAATCATTTTCGTATCATAGTTATTAATTTGAGAACATTGTAATTTCAATCATTTATATTTCTTTGACAGATTTCTCAAAATCGGTACTGTTTTGAAATTACAATGACCCACATATCAAAAGTGTTGGAATTAATCAAAGAATAATTAATCCTTAACAACCAAACTAGAGGAGGCCACATGTCAAGAAACAGTTCATTGGCACTAGATATGGAAAAGAAAAGAAATATATAAAATACTTATTTTCTTTGTACAATATCATATCTAGCATCAACGTAATTCTTTTATTAATCATCTAATGGGTTGTTTCATCCTAAAAAATAATATATGTTCGTTATTTTCGTTTGAATTTGACAATTTGTGCAAAATATTTAAAAGTTAAACAACTAATGGTGTAATTTATTCCAATCAATAGTAACCATAAAGAGGTGAAATAAAACCACCTTCTTTTTTTTTTTCGGGAGTATGATTGATCCTAAAAAAAATAAGGATAAATTATACTTTGACCCCTAAATTATGGACTTGATTTCACTTTGCCCCTTAACCTAATAGTTTAAAGGGTAAAAACATAATATAGTAAAAAATAAGACTTCCTTGAAACTAATTATAAAAAGTTGGATTTGATTGTTCCAATATAAATTTAACAAAAATATGTTTTTTTTTGTACCAAAAAAAAAATTATTGATGCTTTTTTCCTAATTTTTATTTTGTTCGATTGGATCATATCCAAATTGATCCTTCAAACTCATTTAGTAAATAAGTCAACAAGGATTCATTTATACATTTGCGTTTTTCTATTTCAATTATCGAATTATCACATTATTAATTTAGTTGGTCCCTAAAGTTTATTTTGAAGTTTTAATATGTTGCATCCAATTATTTATTGACATACAAATTTAAATAATTATAATTATAATTATAATTTTTTTAAAAAAACGCATGATCCTATAGCCCAACCCTAAGGGAGGGAGTAAATATTAGACTCATTCAGTAGATGTATTATGTGAGGATTAAATATTAGATTGTATTATTTTTTATTTAATTGAGTCTAATACTTTATTTAGTAAACAAATTTGATACCTTATTAATTTCAAAAATATATAATAATCGTATATTTTTTGTACGATAGACTTGTATTATAGAGGTCTTTTAATATTACCAAGAGAGGTAGTACTATAATCCAACTCAAACATATTATTCTATACATTTACTATTATAACCCCCAAGTTGTTACGACTCGTATATTAATAAATTGTTGACAGGCTAATTAGATCATTAATTATAATTCTATATAATTGAGATTTATTTTTTTTTAGGAACAAATGGATCTCAAATATAAACTCTTCACACTAAAACAAGTCAAATGATTATAATTTAGATCAAATTTCATAATCATATAATAAATGAACATATAAATATCTATATATATGTGTGTGTGTGTGTGTGTGTGTGTGTGTGTGAAAGGATAAAATACTATCCTAGATCTTTTTTTAAGATTTGAAAACATACAAGTAGGAAAAAAAAAAGGGGAGAAAGATTTCATGGACAAGTGTCCATAACATACTTGGGGACCAAGCAAGTTTTGGCTATAAAAAGTCAAGCAAGACTGAGCAACAAGCACGGCAGAAAGGAAGAGAGAGAGAGAGAGAGAGAGAGAGAGAGAGGAAGGGGAAGAGAAAGATAGAAAAAAGATAAAGAGAGAAAAAAAAATTATAAGATTTTGGGGTCAAAAAAATTAAATAGGGAATTTTACTTTCGATCATTACCGAATTAAAGTGTCCTATTCGGGGTACTTCAAATTTCTTATTTATTGAAGATATTAATGATTTTGAGGTACGGGGTAGTATACAATATGTTCCTATCTTTTAAATCTATTTGTAAAGAATGTCATTTCATTATCTGAAATTTTGTATTCTTATTATTATTCTGATTTATATGAAATTCTGTCAATGTTATCGGTTGACCTGTACATGTACGTTGGGCTAAATACTTTGGCATTGATTGGTACATGTACGAAGTGTACTTGGAGGCATTATTGATAAAATGTGATTATGGTCTTGCAGGGTGCGATTGTGATTACAGCCCTAAGAGGTGTAATGGTTCAATATGAGTATGGATTTTAAATGCTCAAGTGTCACTTGTCTTGTCACCAAGAAGACCCGAGTATGAGGTTAAGTTTGATAGATATTGAGCTATGTAACTTATCGAATTGGATTCTTGATTATTTTACCAATGATTGTTTATCGATTGAATTATTTGCTATTTGATCATTCATATTCTTTTCTAGTTAAGCATATTGTTTTCTGTCATATTGTATATTTTCTCGCCTTTAATATTTTTCAGGATTATCTCAGAGGGAAGGACCAGAGTTAATATTTGAAAAATCGAAAATAGACGAATCTTGATATAATTTTTAACTTTGTGAGTTCTTTTGGGTGATGTATAATTTGAACAAATTCGTTTTTATATTGAGGAGATGATTTTATTGGTATTTGGAGATCAAAATTGTGATTATAAATTTATTGAGACAATTAGAGCTCTGGCCCTATATTCAGAGATTTATTTGTGGTTTATTATCGATCAATTGATTTAATCAAGTAACGGGTCCGAAAAATTGGGGTGTTACAAAATGGTATCAGATCTTATATGAGTCTTGTGGGAAACGAGACTATATCATCTTTCGTTGTAGGTATGAAAATTTGAAGTGTGAGGAGTAGGTTAACCGATTCCTATTAGACGGACATATAAATTAGAATTTATATCAAAATCTTGGGTTATATAGTAAAGTATTAAAAAAAATGTATCAGAGTGCGCAACGGATATTTATATAATGTATTTATACTTATTTTACTCTCAAGATTAGTATCGAATTTCGAGGACGAAATTCTTTTTAAGGGGGTAGATTGTGACGACCCGTATATTATTAAATTGTTGACACGCTGATTAGATCATTAATTATGATTCTATATAATTGAGATTTATTTTTTTTTAGAAACAAATGGACCTCAAATATAGACTCTTCATGTGAAAACAAGTCAAATGACTATAATTTAGGTCAAATTTCGTAATCATATAATAAATGAACATATAAATATCTGTATATGTGTGTGTGTGTGTGTGTGTTTGTGAAAGGATAAAATACTATTTTAGATCTTTTTTAGATTTGAAATGGTGCAAGTAGGGGAAAAAAAAAGAGAAAGATTCCATAGACAAGTGTCCATAAAATCTTTGGGGACCAAGCAAGTCTTGGCTATAAAAAACCAAGCAAAGCCAAGCACCAAGCACGACAGAGAGGAAGGGAGAGAAAGAGGAAGGGGGAGAGAGAGATAGAAAAAAGATAGACAAATAAAGAAAAAAATTTATGAGATTTTAGAGTCAAAAAAATTAAATAGGGAATTTTATTTTCAATCATTACCGAATTGAAGTGTCCTATTCGGGGTATTTCAAATTTCTTATTTATTGAAAATATTAATGATTTTGAAGTACGAGGTAGTATACAATATGTTCCTATCTTTTAAATCTCTTTGCAAAGAGTGTCATTTCATTATCTGAAATTTTATATTTCTATTGATTATTCTGATTTATATGAAATTTTATCAATATTATCGGTTGACCTGTACGTGTACGTTGGACTAAATACTTTGAGATTGATTGGTACATGTACGAAATGTACTTAGGGGAATAATTAGTAAAATGTGATTATGGTCCTGCAGGGTGCGATTGTGATTATAGCCCTGAGAGATATAATGGTTCAATATAAGTATGGATTTTAAATGTCTAAGTGTCACTTGTCTTGTCACCAAGAAAACCTGAGTATAAGACTAAGTTTGATAGATATTGAACTATGTGATTTATCGAATTGAATTCTTGATTCTTTTATCTATAATTGTCTATCGATTGAATTATTTGGTATTTGATCATTCATATTCTTTTCTAGTTGAGCATATTGTTTCCTGTCATATTGTATACTTCTCCGCCTTTAATATTTTTCAGGATTATCTCGGAGTCAAGGACCAGAGTTGATATTTAAAGAATCGAAGACAGACGAATATTGATATAATTTTTAACTTTGTGAGTTTTTTTTGGGTGATGTATAAATTGAACAAATTTGTTTTTATATTGAGGAGATGATTTTTTTGGTATTTGGACATCAAAATTGTGATTATAAATTTATTGAGATAATTAGAGGTTTGGTCCTATACTCGGAGATTTATTTGTGGTTTATTATCGATCAATTGATTTAATCAAGTAACGGGTCTGAAAAATCGGGGCGTTACACAAGTGATAAAATTAAGTTGTCATCAATATAACAAACACTAATTGATGGTATTTTTGTTAATTCAACATTAATATGATGAAATAATTTTCTAACCAAACAACCGATTTGATTAAATAACTACTATCTAACGCTTATATTGTGTATTGTCAAACAATAAATAAAATTATGTATTACTCTAATACCATATTTAATCTTGTCTTTTATTCATTTGTATTATATTAGACTGTATTACTTTATCCGAACCTTCTATTTTTAATACGACAATCAAATAAACAATAATATCATGTCATCATTGATATATGATGTCACCGTTCAATATTAAACCTATAAATAAGTAAAATGAACTTTATTTGAGTGGTTATTAAATGATATGACAGAGTGATTACTAGAATATATAAAATTTATCTATTTATTTATAAATTTATTATTAAATAATAATACACGTGTCAATACATGTGAACTATGTACATCGTTACGCCTAATATTTTTTTTCACTTTGCGTGGACAATATGGTGACCCAACTTTTAATGTTTTTTTTAGGGACCTTTTCAATAAGACAACTTGTAATGGCCATTTTCTAATCCCTAGGTATTAAACGTCGAACCCCACATGTTAGAACGTCACTGCTTATGTCACAATGGTGCTTGCCCCCAAAAGAAACATTGGAGAAT